CAATTCAAACACGAATATTTTGAAATGCTATTCAGGCGTAGGCTTGACTAATACTTGGTAAGTCTCAAAACATAAAAATCAAGAAGTGGTGCGACTCGAGACAACTAGATTTTAAGGAATGCCACGAGGGACAGCCAACTGTGATGGAATGAAAGAATCCCAGAAGGCAGTCCCTAAGAAATAACGATAATAGAATGGCGCGTTTTGCTATTAAAAAAAGTACTTGTGGGAGTACTTGAGGGAAAACCTTAACCAGTTTTGGAAATTGCCTCGGAGAGAAAAATGATAAATGTAAAGTCTAGTTAGCCATAGCCCACCCAAACGATAGTGCTCCTTTAGCCGATCAACAAAAGCGGATTGGTCGCCAGAGGCCCAACTTCTTGGTGGTTCCATGATGTCGACAGTGAAGGAATCAGCGAGAATGTCTACGTCCACTGATTCGTTCGCATCACCACCTGTTAAAGAGGAAGAGGCGCGGTAAATTACCAGCAGTAGCGTGTTAGTAAAGTTTGGATATGTTCTTGTCAGGCAGTCATAGGCACTCAGTTATAGTCAGTATATAAAGGTAGTTTCTAGAAGCACAATACGAAATCTCTTTGAGAATGCCAGGAAGAAATCGAAGCTTGTGGCGCCGTATAATGGTACAATCGGATACTCAGTAAAACCAAATACGAATTCACTTCATTCAAAGTCGTAATACAGTGTACCAATAGACAGCTACAGATGCATGGTTTTAGAATGAGTAAAGAGAGCATTTATGAAAATGAGAAAGTAGGTTTATTGGATGACTATTGATAACGACATCCGAGTCAAAATTTGCAAAAGAGGATAAATAAAAAACAGGAAGATTAAAACATTGCAAAATTACACTGCTGTGCAACGAGTTTGTCAAATTCTGCAAGGGCGCTGGCTGCCTCGTCATGGCGGTTGGCAGGATCATCGCCAGACTTCTTCGTCACATCCAAGAAAAATTGTTAGGATAAATCATTAGCTCAAATGGGACACATAATTAAACAAATAAATCATAGAAAAGAAGTGAATGATGAGGTTGAAATCACAATTTAAAATCTGTGATACCAAGGCAATGAGGTCGGACATAGAATGCACCAACCAATACTCACTGCCGAAGTGACATCCCCTCGATGTTCAGACGATACAGTCGGAGCCAACTTCCCAGATTCAGATGCTGAAAATTCCATCGACATATCAGTGTGCAAAAGCAACGACTCAGACATTACGAAATAATTACTTCGTCTCGAAATTCATGTTCTGCTCCCCTTACTCGGCACAGCATACCTGATACTTCGCCGTTTAAAGAAATGCCCAACAGCTCCTTCACCTTAGCGGCTCTCATTTCGTTCGACAATTTTTTCATTCCAATGCGAGTCAAATACTCCCGCAAACGAGCACGCTCAGTGGTACTTAATCCATCTCTTTTCCCAGAAGCTTCTTGACCATCCTTATTGCTGCTGTCTGCATTAGGTTCATTGGAGTACTTCAGCGAGTAGTTTTTATATCTCTCCTGCTGCAGTGCGTACTCAAGCATTTTAATTCGACGAACAAGATCACTTTTCAGGTTTTCGCATCCAATCTTTTCGTTTTGCAAAACAGCAATCCTCGCCTATTAATTTTTAATTAATAGTTGAGCAACTCACCTGTAACTCAGCTCTCTCAAATTCCCAACGGGAGCGTTCAATTGACATTTTAGTCCATTCACTTTGAAGAAAGTTGAGGATACCATATATACTGTAGTCACACTTTCGGGACTCGAATGTGACTCCATCAGGTCCAGATTTCTTCCCATTGCATTCAAAATCAGCACCATCACCCGACTGTACATAACCAACCGACTCCATCATGTGCGAAGACGGACACCACCGACCATGAAGCACAGGAGCCTGACCAATCAGCAATAAGACAACTAAATGACAATGAAATTCCACCTTAACAAATAAGCTAAAAAATAATTTATATATTAAACCCTTATGTTACAGCATCAAATGCGACTCAAATGCACTACTTTGTTTATGTGATCAGGCGATGCCTGGCGGTAACCATTAGTATTCGTCTGGTCTCTGTGAGCAGGAGCTAGCTCTCCAGAATGGTTCATGTTTAACTACTTTTCTTGCCCCGGAACACATAATTTAAGCCAACTCAAAGCTATCTCCCACCCAGTCTGAGGTCTTTTGTGGCCACAAAATCGATAACAATTGATTTAATGAAAAAAGAAAGCACGTAAAAGAATTTCATCGCATCGACAGGTAATAAGAGTGATTGTAAAACACAGCTCATGCTATTTTGTTGTCATAAGGCACTAAATACGGATGAAAAGCCTTTAGAATCCCGAGGATTCCCCTAGGGTAGTAGAAGGCATAAGAGGGGTTGGATATATGTATTCCGAAGACAACAAGAGAAATGGGGCCTGAGCTTGGCCCGAAGGACATTCCACGTGTACGGGGACCAGAAAAATTCTAAGGTAAGCGTTCAATAGTCACATAACCAAAGTAGCAAACCATCTCATAATAGTTTGAATAAGCATAATGGACAGAAACAGTCGTGGGAAACGTAATGTTTTGTGACCATATGACGTTTAGCGGTCACTTTAGGATTTGCACACATGAGCTTGCCCGGGTCCATCTGTCCTGCCGCCTTCAGAATACACGTGTCCGTCTGCACTTCTTAACTTCTTATACCGGTTAACAGGTCATGGAACGCTACACTGGTGGCAGCGGAAAGTGTATCCGGCATTTTTTGAGGAATTTTAGGTATGAAGTGCTCTTGAAGACCTTCTGCTGCAGACGAGTTGGGGTCTCTCTGCGGCTTGTTCTTTATTGGTCTTTTGTTAGAAACGACACAGTGTTCGGAAAATCTATTGCCCACCAGATATCGCTATCTTAAGAGCGTCCTTTATTTGTGTTGCTAAACTTCGCCATTCAATCGACTGATATCCGGTAAGGAACAGAACGAACA